TTACATTACATTTCATTACATTACATCACATGACATTACATCACATTACATTACATTACATTACATTACATTACAATACATTACATTACATTACATCACATTACAATACATTACACTACAGTACATTACATACCTACATACATACCTACATACATACATACATACATACATACATACATGCCTACCTACCTACCTACCTACCTACCTACCTACCTACCTACCTACCTACCTACCTACCTACCTACATACCTACATACATACATACATACATACATACATACATGGAGAGGGAGCGTGCGTGCCTGCGTGTTGTGTCACGCGTGTGTGTAATTTGCCTGCTTGCCTTGGTTGCATTGTTGCCATCACAACTTATGTTTTGGCTGGCAATAATTTAACTCATAATCGGAAGCAGACATGTCTTGTCGCCGACGCTGTCGCACAAATCGGTGGCCTACGTTAGTCGTGGCGGTAAGCCCCTAACCCCTAAACCCTACACACTACTGTAGACCCTTAAACCCTCAACCCATCTAAACCCTAAACCCAAACCCTAAGCCCTAAACCCTAGTACGTAAATCCTAGGGCCAGAGCCCTAAAACGTAAATCCTAGCGCTCACCCACAGCCCTAAACGCTAAACTGTAGGTCCAGAGCCTTAAGTTAAACCGTAAATCCTAGGGAGCAACCCAAAGCCTAAACCGTAAACCTCCAGGCCAGAGCCCTAAAAGCCGTTAACCCTAGGGGTCAACCCACAGCCCGAAACGGTAAACCGTAGGTCCAGAGCCCTAAACCGTAAATCCCAGGAACCAACTCAAAGCCCTAATCCGTAAACCTTAAGGCCAGAGCCCTAAAAAGCCATGTAAACCCTATTCCCACCCAAACCCTAAACCCTAAACCCGAGCCCTAAGCCCCGAATCCGAAGATAGAACTCCCCCACCCTCAGACCATTTGACGAATGCAAGTTATCACCCAAGGACCACGAGTAGGACCAGCTCAAGAAGAAGCGTCCAAACGCCACGAATCACTCTCAAGTTTAAACTATCGCCAGTAGAGAGGCTTCGGGTTTAAGGTAAGTAGGTATAAGTAAGTGTGTGTGTATATATATATATATTTCTACATATAGATAGATAGATAGATAGATAGATAGATAGGTAGGTAGATAGATAGATAGATAGATAGATAGGTAGACGTAGTCAGGACTAGGTCGTGGGGATGATGGTAGGGCTTTTGGCTTAGGATTCAGGCTTTGGTTCTTTTTCGTGTTGGGGTTGGGGGTTTAGGCTTTAGGCTTTAGGCTTTAGGGTTTAGGTTTAGGGTGTAGGGTTTAGGGCTCGCATCCCGCCTCAGGGTCAGCTCTGTGCAAGCCACTTCGTCTCACACGACATGTCACGATGCTTGGCCAGAAATCCTAAACTCTGAACTCTACATGCCTAAGTCCTTGACTCCTAGTTTGTTGCCTATGTGACTATGTGGGTAGGCTTACTAGGGGATGTTCGCTGCATGGTCGCAACTTGTCGAGGATGCCTGAGTCACGGCATCTGTCCGTGCTTCCGTGTCTACTGTCTAGTGTTGAAATTTGCCGTGCCGCCTAAACCCTAAACCCTTAACTCTAAACCCTAAACCCTAAACCCTAAACCCTAAACTCTAAACCCTAGCCCGAAATCCGAAACCCAAACCTCGAACTCCATATGAATTGCATTCAAAGCCTGAACCATTCAGGGTTTAGGGTTTAGGGTTTAGGGTTTAGGGTTTAGGGCTTCAGGTTTAGGGCTTAGGGTCAAGGGTTGAGGGCTTAACCCTAAACCGGAAAACCCTACACCCTAGCCCCTAAACCCTAATCCATTTAAGGCTCAGGGTGTAGGGTTTAACCCAAAACCCCAAACCCTACATCCTAAACCCTAAACCCTGATGCGTTTAGGGCTTCGGGTTTGGAGGCTTGGGCTCACGACTTAAGGTTGACATAGCGTGTCATATAGAGCTTTTGGCATCGTCAGGGCAGATCACAGTTGTTCAAGGGTCTAAACTCTAAACTCCCAAACAAGTCTATCCTAAACCCTAAACTCCCAAACAAGTCTATCCTAAACCCTAAACTCCCAAACAATTCTA